TTTTAAGACTATCGATAACTTTTGATTCTCGAATAGCGTCTTGATATGTTTTATCTAAAGCCAGAGATTTATTAACAGCGTATTGAGCGTCGTCATACATCTGCATGTTTCTGTTTGCTCGTGCAAGCAGATACCACGCTTCAGCGCAATTTAAATGTTTTGTTTTTTTCCCTAAAAATTCTTTAGCTCTGCTGTATTTACTAAGCATTAACTGACATCTGCTATAACCTAATGCCGCTGCTATATTTAATGGTACACATTTTAATGCATTGGAATACGCATCAAAAGCTTGTTGCCATAATGGTAGCGCCAACAAACGGTGTTTTTTCTCAAATACGTCAGCTGCAGTGCAATAATTATTAGCAATTTGAACATGGATTTTAGCCTTTTCATCAGGTATTTTCTGTAGCTCTAACTGTGTGTAAAGATAATTTAACACCGATTTACATGTAACGAAAACGGCATCCACATTTGGACTGTTTTCTCGTACAACAACATAGACAATCTGTGACGCACCACTAGAATAGTCAATCTTTGCTTTCGTTGAAACAAACACAAAACCGTGCAGTCGATGGTTTTTAACATCACAAGGTTGCAATGCCAAATTATAAAGTCTTGACAACAGCGGAAAATAACGATAGTGTAGAACATTGCCCGTACTAGTTAAGAATTTTTTTTCCCAATCGTCGACTGAAATAACCTGTTCAGCTTTCAATAAATTTGTAACTAAAGATTTATCCAACATATTCGAACTTGCATAACACTCCCTAACTTTGTTAGCAAACACTTGTCGATTAAGTCCAATTTCCCTACTCGTAAGTAGACTTAATATTTCGAGATGTTCATCATCTGCGCTCACCAATATGACTCGTGTGCAATGTAGAATTTGTTCATTAACTACGATTTTCTTTATTTGATCCAGCGGAACCTGATCTTTTAGAGCCAATTGCCCGAGCTCATCCGTTAAACCAAATGCGCATAGAAGATCGTCCAGTGCTTGAATACGTTCAGTAGGAATAGTAAAAAACTGATGTTTTTGGCTCAACGACTGTTTCACATCATTGACAGCCTTTTTACATCGATCTAAATTAGCCGTACCAGATGCAATTATATTTCCAATAGCATAATTCAATCGAGCTATATTCGAATATTCTTCAAGACGGTCGGTGAATGGAGATTGGATGGCATCTTCAAGATACTCATCTGGTATAGAATAACGAAATGCTTTAATCCTCTGTCTAAGTCGTTTTCCATATCTTATTAATTGTATTTCTTCGATTCTTTTATCAAGTTGTTCAGCCGCAAT